ACAGCACCGCCTTGAGGCAGGCATTTGCGTGTCTTGCCGCACATGCCGGTCTTGCGTACCATTAACCGCAGTGTGTGGCTTTCCTGGCCCCGCCGTAGCCGGCCTTTTTACTGCCGTCCTACCGGAAGAAGCCCGGCATCCGCCCCTACCGAGACTAGTCCATATCCATTCGTCCAACCTCCGGTCCCCTGTGACACATAGTCAACTCAGTATTGTGCGACCCGCACTATGCGACCCAAAAAAAGGTCGGCTTTCAGAGGGTCAACCAGGACTCCTTCCTGGTCGTAGTATTTCTAGTTACACTTATGTCGGCCACGACTTTATCAGTGGTCGCGAGACTGCGGCCCACACAGTCCGGTCTAAACTCCTAAGTTACCCGGTAGTCAAACAACTCGTGCTTGCCCGCAATGTRCATGCCCACTCACTCTCTAATYAAGCTATACATACGCCTGCCACTTCTGACATACAGTAGTCAGTCGCGGCTGGCGACAACCCCCCCATTCTTTCATGTATCGGCTCAATCGCTTCTTCTGCGAGGTGCAAAAACATGCACATTTACCCTTGTAAGGGTAATGGTGCCGACAATTTTCCGGACCATATTAAGCGACGTCCCCGTCGCGTCGGTCATATCAAAAACTATAAACAATTCAATTTTCATCTGCTGACAAGGACGTTGACCAATCCGATTAGCGGGCTTGACTCTTTTCGAGGTACTTTATCAACCTACCCCCTCCACGGTGTTCCACTGCCAGGGTTTCAACCTGGGTCTCCCATGTCCTGGCCTCGGACTCCGGGGATACTTTGTTCCGTACTAAAGTGTAATGTCCGCTTCCAGATAGTAGCTTGATAGCCCTCTCCCTTTGCCTTAGACATCTATCGGTTTACCGTTGGGTGTCCTGTTTAGTCATCGTCCTGCAAACAGGGTCATAACTTAGGACGCGGGCCCTAACCGAGACCTCTTCAAAACACGGGGCACCTTCGTTCCCCAAAGTGGTAAATAATACCATCTCAAATATCCACCAATAATGAACGCCCAACCTGGAGTCTAACACAAGCGGCTTCTAGGTCTCCATCCTGGTCCACCATAGTCTGGTTGATCGAGCCAGATCCACGGCCCACCGCGTTGTTATATTAGCGGTAGTGCCCTCGTTGGTTGCGCAACGATAAGCAAATTTTCTCTTACCTTGGCACCCTGAAGGGTCCTGACTCTTAACCTCATCGACCCCAATGACCTTCCATCCGGCTTAAAACCTCTCAAGGCGGCCGACCTTTCGAGACTTAACCTTTGGTGAGCCATGGTCCCGCTGCCAGGTTGCGCCAGCCAGCGGCCCTCGCTGGGAGTTAGGTTCTACAGTTCCAGCGATGCTAAGTATAGCCTCTTAGCATGGCCTCACATAATATGTCCCTTAAACTGACTGCTTGTGGTCTGGCCTTCTCTTTTCACAATAATACACAAAGGATCACATACCAACTGCCCACGGGACTACGTGGAGGGATAGTGCCTTTCTCACGATTCCACAAATATTTCCACAAGGTCGTGCCTTTCTTGCTTTGATCAGGGCAGACAAGGTCACACGTCTTATAGGGACACCTTTCCAAAATTTCCATCATACTCCCAGAATTCCATCCATAATTCTCACAAAAATTCCTGGTCTTTCCTTGTCAGACTTTGCATGCATACAATTTTTCATCATCATTATCATCACAACATCTCCTCAGAGTGCTCTCTCATAATTTCAATTATATTCATAGGAAGGACTCAATCGGCCATTGAGTTCCTTTCACAATTTCAAATGCWCACAAAAGGACACAACCTTCAGTTGTGACCTTCCATTCAACATCATTACTCAGTTTCAATACACAATTTTATCACATGTGATGTGCATTCTCCCTTAACTATACTTAGTACTTTTCCTGTAACAATGACAGGTAGTCCAAGGTATCGAAAAAGGATAGTGCAGATCAAGCCATCATAAAAATATCCCACAAAATTCAAGCATACATGGGCAAGTCCACAACTGATGTGAGCGTGATATACCACACAAAACTCTATTAAGTCTGAGTCTCATTGGTACACAAGGAACCTGGGGTTTGCAAAATAGGCCAGACCCCTATTACACTCAAAGAAGAATCCAAGTATAGTACAAAAAAGTCAAAAATGTATCGAACAGGTCAAAGTCCCGAATGTCCAAGTATCAACTCACACTGCACACCACTCACACTGCTCACACAGATCTCACACATCCTACTCTGAAAGGAGAAAAGAAAAGAAAACGTAGTTCATACACAGACACATAATGTACATAGTCTTAAAAAGATAGTCGAACTCAAACTTTATCTAATGTACACTCTGTCCTGAAGCTCTGTAGTATTGACGGTAGACATCCCATCAGGCGGCTCAGTCTACTGATATACATAGTTGTGATCCGATCCTCCATGTGTCCTCCTATATACAGTCATCTATCAGTAGAGAGTCAAAGATGTTTTACTCATGCCAACGTTAGACCTTTCCGGACCCTAATGTCAAATCTTAGTCAATCAACACCTCACCTATTTGTCTGTACAACTGCATCCTACCACCATCACGAGACCTCTCAACCAAATTACCATTCCTATCCCTCCAAATCCCAGTGGATACTTCGGTAACAAACCCTCTCGCCTCATCCTCATAAAACTTGGGGCAATCATCAGAGAAACGTTTGCCATTCTTGCAGTAGAAACACTTCCCAGGCTTCTTCTGCACTGTCTTCTCTTCTTCCTGCGAGGGTACTGAGGATGAAACTGYCGTTGCTTCGCTCGTAACCTCCTGCTGGGGGGTCTCTGATGGTGTGGGGCAGGTTGCTCTCTCCTCTGTCTGTCTCGCTGGCCCACTCGCTCACACTGCTGAACCAGACCCTGTGGCCCACGAGCCCAATGCCTCCTCCAAATCTGCTACCAAGGGCGTACCCTGAGGCATGGTAGAGTCCTGACAGGTCTCTTGGCCTATTCCCTGCTCAGCCTCAACCTTGCTCCCCAGGATCATCTGCCCCTCAGCAACCATCCGATCAATAGGCAGTGCCCCCTCATCTCTCACCACCTCTGCCTGATGTGTCACATCCAGCTCCCTTCGAACCTGCTGGAGTGTCACAGTGGACGGCATCTGCCACTCAAACTCCTCACTTTTACCTTCCCGATCTCCAGCACCACCTTGGATGCGGTCCCCACAAAAATGGACCGACTATTTGCTCCTACTAAAATACCATTGTCGGAGCGGTCTATCTCCATCCCCAGGCGCAGGGCATCCTCCTCATTGATGAGGTTCATTTTTGCGCCTGTGTCCACCATTGCCGTGCATGCTTTCCCCTTTACAACAACATCAAAACACCCGCACGCCACGGACTTCTAGTCCATTTTCGTACCGGTCTCCGGCCCCACCCTTGATTTTGTCGTCGTCCACCGCCTTGATTGCCTTGCGACCCTTGTGGGGCTGACTGCTGGGGTTGGGTTGGCGGTGGGTCTGGGTGACTTACTTTCTGAGCTTAGGGCCCCGGGCAGCCGCAGGAAGCCATGCTCATCGGTGGTCCAGCACACGACCCATACGGCCCACTCTGTGGCCATGGGGCGAATGAGCTATGTCCATGCCAGTGGCTTTAAGGTCCACAACCTGGCCACGACCCATAGTGTGCTGGTGTGGCTTGACTAGGTGCAGAAGAGGGTGTGTGGTCCTCAACCTCGCATGGCGGTTGTCTAGCGCAAAGAGATTAACCCTTGAAGCGCTTGTCAGCCGACACTTGAGTGTCGAAAGGGACCCTTAAAATCCCTGAGGGCCTCCTGGACCTGGGTACCACATAGTACCCCTTTATTGCAAACACTTGTAAGCGCACGCATGACGGGCTGGTATGAGAAATCCGTGCGATCGCGCGATTCTTTATACTAAATCAGCATGCGACGCCTACCTAATCTTTGTACCAAAAGGTTATGGGTCCAATACTAAAGGGACTGGGAGTGTTGTGTTTTTCTTTTGCTTTGGTGCATGAGTGTGTGAACGTGGGTTACTTAAATTTTGCTTTAAGTGGTGTATCGCGTGGTGTGTGTAGAACGTCCTAGTCGTCGATTTGCTTGGGACCTCAGCCCCACAGTGTCGTCGATTTGCGTACGGGTCCGATTTCGGGCGTTGACCACGCGTACTCTATGCTACAGGGAATGAGAAACGCCCTCGGCTGGGCCACCTCTGCAATTGCATTATAAAAGCCTTCGCATGTGGTTCAGTAGCTCGGCAGGGATACGCCCACCTAAGGGATGGTGACAGCTCCCACAGGTGGAGGTAGCGGTGCCTCGCATGACTCTGTCCTGTCGTAGGGACTCGCGAGAGGTACGGCTGACGCACTCGGCCGGAGCGGCAAACGCTCTCGCAATATGTCCTGCATAATCCTGCGTGACGCGGCCGGGAGGGTCCACGTGCGGGACTGATGCGCTCGACAGGTGGCGCCGTTGCCGGGGAATCTCGGCTGCCTACCGGGGTCCTTAAGAGAACGAACTCGGGTTAAGTGCAGGCTGATGATCCAGGCAAAACGACAACCTTTGATGAAAAAAATTTTCTCCTTGACGATGATTCGAGTATGGTGGCTTTCTCAATGACACGTCAGATCTGCCTGCCTTGATTGTGAGTAAGGTTGGAAGTGTGCATTGTGTGTATCCGTTTCAGCGGTAGGGTCAGAGTAATAATATAGACCTGATAGTTAATAAAGATAGTAGTTGAATGGTGAAAGTAGGCAAGTTAGAGACTTGACGGCCGATTGTTTTGTTAAAACCTTTCGTCCCTCAACAGGTGTTTGAGAAAACGTAAAGATGGCGGACGCTGACGGAATCGAGCGGTGCCCGGGTGCTACACCTGAGGACTTCGTCAAGGCATTGGAAAAAAGAGAGATGGCACGGCTTCAGGTGCCCAAGGTTAATATTTTTTCCCTTCAACGGGGATAGAGTGTCCGAGTGGCTCGAGTTGCTAGAGCAGGTCACTAGCGAGGCGTCAGAAGCAGACAAATTCAAGCTGATGCCTAGGCATGTATAGTGGGAGCTTAGACCTGAGGTAATGAAGGTAGCGGCCGACGCAAATGGTGAGTGGGCAAAGTTTAAAGAGGAGATGCAGAGACGTTTCAAGTTAGGTGACGGCCTGCTCACTAAAGAAGACCTGGAAATGTTGAGACGTGATGAGTTCTCCACAGTGGCGGCCTTCGCTACGGCGTTTGAGAAAATGGCAAAGAAAGTCCCAGGGTTGGCAGAAGAGCAGCAGTTTGCCACTTTCCTAGGGCACTTCAAGAACTGGGAGGGCTCGTCGCTAACTAAGAAGGCTGCGCCAGGAAAGAAGCTCACTTGGGCTGCCATAAAGGAAGGCGTAATGGACGGAGAACTGGACCAGGTAGACATCTTCCAGATGAGGCAGGCTAGGAAGAAAAGGAAGGCCTTAGACGCTACGACGAGTGATGGGCGCGACTTCAAGAAAATGGTGGAGGATGCGGTGGCCCAACTCGATGCAGCGAAGGAGGCAAGAAGAAAAACCATGGCAGCGCCACAGACCGTAGGGAAAGCGAAAAAGGCAGTAGTGCAGGAAGAACAAGAAGAGGAAGAAGAAGAGGAGCCTGAGCCGCAGAAGCTGACAAAGGCTCAAAGGAAAGCAAGGAATTTCGCTCAAGGAGGGCAAGGCTCAGGGAGGGGCCAAGTCCCACAAGCTGTAGCCATGCCGCCCTCTGAGTCACCTAGTCAAGCCGCACCAGCACACTATGGGCCGTGGCCAGGTTGTGGACCTTAAAGCCACTGGCATGGACATTGCTCATTCGCCCCATGGCCACAGAGTGGGCCGCATGGGTCGTGTGCTGGACCACCGATGAGCATGGCTTCCTGCGGCTGCCCGGGGCCCTAAGCTCAGCAAGTAAGTCACCCAGACCCACCGCCAACCCAACCCCAGCAGTCAGCCCCACAAGGGTCGCAAGGCAATCAAGGCGGTGGACGAGGACAAAATCAAGGGTGGGGCCGGGGACGAGGGAATGGTGGTCGGGGAGGAAACGGCAGAGGGAATGGTGGTGGTAACGTTGCACGCGAGGGAAGCGAGGGTTGGACAACATCCGGGAGTCAAGGTGGCCAGGAAGGTGGAAGAGGTGCTGGCAGGGGGAGAATAGATTGGAGGAACGCCATTTGTTGGCACTGCGGGCAGAAAGGTCACACTATCAAGTTCTTCCATGTCCGGAGAAACGATGAAGACGAAGGCCTAATCAACACCAACTATGATGGGGATATGTACGACAAGTGGGGGTACCACCTTGATCCAAGGACCCCAGGCGGGACAAGGAAGAAGGCCCTACGACGAGCCGAGGCAGGTGAACCACCCGCTCCTCCAGCCATGTTTCGGATATGGCAGGAGAAAGGGGTCCGTAGTGACAACAGGGTTGAAAAGGTGGGAGAGAACGAAGAGGTGGAGCAAGAGCGGAAAGCCGACACTACTAAGGCTGAGCCCATCATAGTAGAGTCGGACGATGAGATTGAAGAGGATTACTGGAACAGGCCGTTGCACGTTGAGACAGGGGAAGACTATTGGAGAACGGTCCGACAGACGATGGAGAATATGGACGACTTAATGGATAAAATTCGAAGGTACCAGGGAAAGCTGGTTGATTTATGCGAAGAGGTTAAGGAGTGGCAAGGGCAGAAGCCACAAGTCTTCATGTATGGGTCAGGCCCAAAATTGCATGGGCCGGAGACCGGTACGAAAATGGACTAGAAGTCCGTGGCGTGCGGGTGTTTTGATGTTGTTGTAAAGGGGAAAGCATGCACGGCAATAGTGGACACAGGCGCAAAAATGAACCTCATCAATGAGGAGGATGCCCTGCGCCTGGGGATGGAGATAGACCGCTCCGACAATGGTATTTTAGTAGGAGCAAATAGTCGGTCCATTTTTGTGGGGACCGCATCCAAGGTGGTGCTGGAGATCGGGAAGGTAAAAGTGAGGAGTTTGAGTGGCAGATGCCGTCCACTGTGACACTCCAGCAGGTTCGAAGGGAGCTGGATGTGACACATCAGGCAGAGGTGGTGAGAGATGAGGGGGCACTGCCTATTGATCGGATGGTTGCTGAGGGGCAGATGATCCTGGGGAGCAAGGTTGAGGCTGAGCAGGGAATAGGCCAAGAGACCTGTCAGGACTCTACCATGCCTCAGGGTACGCCCTTGGTAGCAGATTTGGAGGAGGCATTGGGCTCGTGGGCCACAGGGTCTGGTTCAGCAGTGTGAGCGAGTGGGCCAGCGAGACAGACAGAGGAGAGAGCAACCTGCCCCACACCATCAGAGACCCCCCAGCAGGAGGTTACGAGCGAAGCAACGGCAGTTTCATCCTCAGTACCCTCGCAGGAAGAAGAGAAGACAGTGCAGAAGAAGCCTGGGAAGTGTTTCTACTGCAAGAATGGCAAACGTTTCTCTGATGATTGCCCCAAGTTTTATGAGGATGAGGCGAGAGGGTTTGTTACCGAAGTATCCACTGGGATTTGGAGGGATAGGAATGGTAATTTGGTTGAGAGGTCTCGTGATGGTGGTAGGATGCAGTTGTACAGACAAATAGGTGAGGTGTTGATTGACTAAGATTTGACATTAGGGTCCGGAAAGGTCTAACGTTGGCATGAGTAAAACATCTTTGACTCTCTACTGATAGATGACTGTATATAGGAGGACACATGGAGGATCGGATCACAACTATGTATATCAGTAGACTGAGCCGCCTGATGGGATGTCTACCGTCAATACTACAGAGCTTCAGGACAGAGTGTACATTAGATAAAGTTTGAGTTCGACTATCTTTTTAAGACTATGTACATTATGTGTCTGTGTATGAACTACGTTTTCTTTTCTTTTCTCCTTTCAGAGTAGGATGTGTGAGATCTGTGTGAGCAGTGTGAGTGGTGTGCAGTGTGAGTTGATACTTGGACATTCGGGACTTTGACCTGTTCGATACATTTTTGACTTTTTTGTACTATACTTGGATTCTTCTTTGAGTGTAATAGGGGTCTGGCCTATTTTGCAAACCCCAGGTTCCTTGTGTACCAATGAGACTCAGACTTAATAGAGTTTTGTGTGGTATATCACGCTCACATCAGTTGTGGACTTGCCCATGTATGCTTGAATTTTGTGGGATATTTTTATGATGGCTTGATCTGCACTATCCTTTTTCGATACCTTGGACTACCTGTCATTGTTACAGGAAAAGTACTAAGTATAGTTAAGGGAGAATGCACATCACATGTGATAAAATTGTGTATTGAAACTGAGTAATGATGTTGAATGGAAGGTCACAACTGAAGGTTGTGTCCTTTTGTGAGCATTTGAAATTGTGAAAGGAACTCAATGGCCGATTGAGTCCTTCCTATGAATATAATTGAAATTATGAGAGAGCACTCTGAGGAGATGTTGTGATGATAATGATGATGAAAAATTGTATGCATGCAAAGTCTGACAAGGAAAGACCAGGAATTTTTGTGAGAATTATGGATGGAATTCTGGGAGTATGATGGAAATTTTGGAAAGGTGTCCCTATAAGACGTGTGACCTTGTCTGCCCTGATCAAAGCAAGAAAGGCACGACCTTGTGGAAATATTTGTGGAATCGTGAGAAAGGCACTATCCCTCCACGTAGTCCCGTGGGCAGTTGGTATGTGATCCTTTGTGTATTATTGTGAAAAGAGAAGGCCAGACCACAAGCAGTCAGTTTAAGGGACATATTATGTGAGGCCATGCTAAGAGGCTATACTTAGCATCGCTGGAACTGTAGAACCTAACTCCCAGCGAGGGCCGCTGGCTGGCGCAACCTGGCAGCGGGACCATGGCTCACCAAAGGTTAAGTCTCGAAAGGTCGGCCGCCTTGAGAGGTTTTAAGCCGGATGGAAGGTCATTGGGGTCGATGAGGTTAAGAGTCAGGACCCTTCAGGGTGCCAAGGTAAGAGAAAATTTGCTTATCGTTGCGCAACCAACGAGGGCACTACCGCTAATATAACAACGCGGTGGGCCGTGGATCTGGCTCGATCAACCAGACTATGGTGGGCCAGGATGGAGACCTAGAAGCCGCTTGTGTTAGACTCCAGGTTGGGCGTTCATTATTGGTGGATATTTGAGATGGTATTATTTACCACTTTGGGGAACGAAGGTGCCCTGTGTTTTGAAGAGGTCTCGGTTAGGGCCCGCGTCGTAAGTTATGACCCTGCTTGCAGGACGATGACTAAACAAGACACCCAACGGTAAACCGACAGATGTCTAAGGCAAAGGGAGAGGGCTATCAAGGTACTATCTGGGAGCGGACATTACACTTTAGTATGGAACAAAGTATCCCCGGAGTCCGAGGCCAGGACATGGGAGACCCAGGTTGAAACCCTGGCAGCGGAACACCGTGGAGGGGGTAGGTTGATAAAGTACCTCGAACAAAGTCAAGCCGGCTAATCGGATTGGTCAACTTCCTTGTCAGCAGATGAAAATTGAATTGTTTATAGCTTTTGATCTGACCGACGCAACGGGGACGTCGCTTAATAGGGTCCGGAAAACTGTCGGCACCATTACCCTTACAAGGGTAAATGTGCGTGTTTTTGCACCTCGCAGAAGAAGCGATTGAGCCGATACATGAAAGAATGGGGGGGTTGTCGCCAGCCGCGACTGACTACTGTATGTCAGAAGTGGCAGGCGTATGTATAGCTTGATTAGAGAGTGAGTGGGCATGTACATTGCGGGCAAGCACGAGTTGTTTGACTACCGGGTAACTTAGGAGTTTAGACCGGACTGTGTGGGCCGCAGTCTCGCGACCACTGATAAAGTCGTGGCCGACATAAGTGTAACTAGAAATACTACGACCAGGAAGGAGTCCTGGCTGACCCTCTGAAAGCCGACCTTTTTTTGGGTCGCATAGTGCGGGTCGCACAATACTGAGTTGACTATGTGTCACAGGGGACCGAAGGTTGGACGAATGGATATGGACTGGTCTCGGTAGGGGCGGATGCCGGTCTTCTTCCGGTAGGACGGCAGTAAAAAGGCCGGCCACGGCGGGGCCAGGAAAGCCACACACTGCGGCTAATGGTACGCAAGACCGGCATGTGCGGCAAGACACGCAAATGCCTGCCTCAAGGCGGTGCTGTACGGCGCTGCAAAGCCATGGCTTGGGGGACA